GAGATCAAAGTGTATTGATATGAAAAAAATATATGTTACCAGGCACCAATGGGAACATTTCTGAAGCTAAGCTATGAGGAAATGGAGAGAATATAAACACTCAAGGAAATGGAAGAACAAATAATTAAGCAGCTAAAAAAAAATCACAAATAAAATTAAGGTGGGGAAAAAGGCATTCTCATAGCCTAGAACTTATTTAGCAGGCTTCTTTTGGGCAAGCTCTTCCTAATTAAGGTCTACCACTGGAAAAGCCCTTTATTCCCATCCATCAGCCCTAACCAACTTCTTGTATTAGGTACTCCTAAAAAGGGACTCTTGCCTACAGGTTTAGACTGGAAACAGAAGGTTTTTTGCAATCTGTTTATAAGGTCTCTCCCTATCTTATTTTTTAAAAACAATGCCTACAACTGAATTGGCAATCAGAAGGGAAGTGTGTATATGTCAACTTGCAAATGGGCCTTTTGAAAGCTGAGATATGACCAGCTTGGCAAAACAAATTCTAACTTGTGAGGAGGCAACTGTATAAGCTTCACCAACAAATCATCGTGTAGTTGGACTGAGATAAGGCTAGAAGTAAGATGCTGCTGTGCTCAAATCTGTAGGTGTTTCCTTCCTTCCTTTGAATCCCTAGACCAGCACTTCTTAACACTTGGTCCTCCAAATGTTCTGGACTCCCAAAAGCCCCAGGAAACAGAACCAGTGATGAGAGATTCTAAGAAAGGAAGTCCACAATGTTGGGGTGATTAAAACTTGAGAACTGCTGGCCCAACTGATGTTGTCTGGATGGATTTTAGGCCCTTCATTATTAGCTTCAAAGATGTAAAGCTTCAGCCAAAAGCTTCTTACCTTAATTAATACATTATCAAAGCTAGTAGGGTTCATGACATCATAACAAATTAAAACAACATTGGTGTTCTGGTATGACAGAGGCCGTAGGCGATCATAATCCTCTTGCCCTAAAACAGATAACAGTTAAAAGTTTTAATTTGAACCTAGTCTCTCTGCTCAATTGCTCTGTGTGATAGTGAGAAATCCCCTAAAGTAGGAAGTGGGAGACATCTATCAACCATCTACCATAGGGCTTTCAACTAATTGAATACTAGCAGCCTGTGCTCTACACCTTCAAACCAAAGCAACAGCTGCAGACTGGTGGCATCATCCACTGAGACCTCCAGAGGCTCCCAGTGGATCTCAGCAGAAGATGTCTTCAGCTAACATCTGGCCATGGAGACATAGCCAGATGCTCCTCTGAGTCCCTCACCTCTCCACCAGCAATGCAGTGATAGGGAGGGGGGCTATCATAGCACAACGATGAATCCTGGTATGGCACAGGGGAGCCACAGCAGAGTTCCCCACACTGGAGTCAACACTATATGGTTTCAGCCTGTTCACAACTGTGCTTGCCCAACTTAGGGCCTTTGCAGACTGCCAGAAATAGTGCAAATTGAGTCCACTTTAACTGCCCTGACTCATTGCTAGGGAATCATGGGAACTGTAGTTTATTGTGGCACCAGAGCTCTCTGACAGAGAAGGCTCAATGTCTCAGAAAAAAATACAGTTCCCATGATTCCCTAGCACTGAGCCAGGGCAGTTAAAGTGGACTCAGTTTGCACTATTTCTAGCAGTCTGCAAAGGCCCTTAGACTGCCTTACTTTTCAGACAGTGCTGTACTTAGATTTCCACCACAATTAAGCCCCAAGTCATGTTGGCAGGGGCATGCTGTATTAGCTTAGTCAGCAGGAAAGCAAAGGTCAAATGACATAAACCTGTAATCTGTGCAAATTACGCAATTTCAAATGGCCAGTGTTTATGTGGAGCAGTAAATAACGCAACAAGAAAAAGAACTTTTACCAGGACCACGATTCCAGAGACTGGCCGATATTGCAAAAGCTAGCCTAAGGGTGTCCTCTCAGGTACATACTCTGCACTTTGGCCTCAAGAGCTGAGACTCTGTAAGGTCTCTGGCAAGCCTCTTTGCCTGTCATCTCATTGACAACCATGCAAAGGTTGCCTTATGATGCTCTGGTAAGGGTTGTTGAGATAAGGCGACGCTCCTTGAATAGTACAGCATAATTGGGAGCATTACTAGCAAGAGCACTTGGGAGCTTCTCTGGATGGGCCTGTGACAATGCTTGTGTCTGGAAAAGTCACACAGGTGTACCCTGTGCTGAGCAACACATATTCTGCCTGGCAGAGTTGCACAGGAACTGGTCGTGTCTGCAGCACCACTCCAGCACATCCTACAACAGTGATGGGAAGGGGAAAGGTTCAACAAGCCGGTTTAGAGAGGGCAGTAAGTCTTATGCTATGTTGTTTAAGGAAGAACAGTAGCCCTAGAATATCTGTGTTAGCCTACATTTGGTCAGGGCTGTGACTTGTGAACACACTGATTTGGGTGCCACTGATTTGAGAAAGCCCAGTCTTCTGTACATCAGTGGCTTTTAAAATGATCTTTAGGGACTGCTTTGAGTCCTATACAGGAAAAAAAGGTGGGATATTAAATAAATAAAGGTTTTGCTGGGGACACCAATATATTGCAGAGAATTCTGGGGAGTTGTAGCTTCTACACTGTCACTTAGCTCTTGAATCTTAAACCCTCTTCTTGAGCCTTTGTGTTGATCCACTTAAGGTGAAAGTGTGACCTAGATAGAGCTCACCCATCTCCCTTCTGTGGCAGCGTGTTGGCAAGGGAAGATTGAGGCTGGTAGACAAGTTTGGTTTTGAAGGAAACTTATTCTCTCCCTGACTAATCATCTCGGTGACAGGCTTCTGAGCAGCTCAGATATGTGTGAGCTTGCAAAATCTTCAGATGTCTTTTTTAGGCGAGATGTTGAAAAACTCAGGCAGTGGGAAGAGGGAGACTTAATCTTTAAGCCTGCATATTGTTGCTGGAGATGTAATGAAGAGGAAGAGCCTGCAGATTCACAAATGGAACTCTTCAGGTGATCTTTTGGTTTTAGATTTCAAACAGAGTAGCCCTGAGCCTTTCAGGGAGTAGAAAGAGCATTAAAATTTGATTCTCCATTTTGAAAATGCAACACTCACCCCTATAAACACAAAACTGCTTGAAGCTCCCAGGTGCCTTTGTGGATAGGAAACAGAGACTAGCTGTCCAGTTTATTATGTGATCAGCTCCTAAAATGCTGTTAACCAACTTAAAAAACAAACCTGATATACAGACTGCCACTGCATTGTCTCTCCCCAGCTCTCTTGCTATCACTTTCCAGCAATTATTGGAAATCTGGACATTGCCAATACATGCTTTAAAAAAATACAATAAGCAAGATTTTCATTAAAGTGAGATTACCTGCAGTGTCGTATAAGTGTAGGATGACTTCCTTCTTGCCCACAGTGATGCTGGTGGTGTATTTCTCAAATACCGAGGGAGCGTATTGCTGGCAGAAGAGGGAAGCATGATGCTATTAGTAAATACCGTGAAGTTCCACAGTCTCTTCCTCTAAGGCCCTGCCAGGTAACCAAAAAAATCTCACCTACATATTTGAACCAGGATAACTGAGCTTCAGAAAATAAGTCATGTCTTTTCCTGTCATTTTCTTTCTACTTTCTCAGACTCCTCTTCACCTTTTTTGAGTGCCTATGGTTCCTCGTCTAAATGCTTAACATTTTTATAAAAAAATATACCACTCTCAGGGGATACAACTTGGGTGTTTGGATTTCAGCATCCCCATGCCTATGTGATGCTATGATGGAGGGCTTTCCAGACCAAACTTCCCCTTCGGTTAGCTTTCCTTAATGCGTAGTTGGATCAGGACTCAGAGATGGGCCACAAAGATGGGCCTCATCATCATTTTGTGTTCTGCAGAACACAAGATTAGGTGAAGTCTGCTCCTCTTCACCTAACTTTGAACATCCATTGCAATTTTGGACTGTTTCAATTTGGGCTTTCACCTCCTCCTCTTTGACTGGGGGGAGGTGGACTAGAACACCAGGCACTCAGAAAGTGAAGAGGAGCCAGACATAGTAGGGAGAAAAAGAACGGAAAGGACATGATTTAACTGAGGTGGTCTGGAAATGATTCAGCTGTGTCAAAAGTAGGCATTTGTGCTGTAGCTGATGGACACCAGGCATTCAGAGGTTTGTGATATGCTGGGGTGTAGCTATGGGGAGGGACACAAAAATGAGGGCATTGCCCCCCAAGTAAGAATGCTGTCCCGCCAATGAACTTTTCCTTCAGTCCTCTAAATTCTAGCACTGCAGTGAAACTTCTGTTGAGCATTTAGAAATACAGTTTAGGCATCCAAAGGAAACAGGTAGGCAAAGTGATCAAGGGAATGCAAGCCCAGCAGCTAGAAGAGTTCTAGGTGGGAACGATTTGTGAAGTTTCCCTCTCTGCAATGCTAGAAATAGGGGTAGGCCTCTCTCACAAACACAGAGTGAAAGCTGACTATGAAACTCTGCCTTTTCAGCACACATGTTTGGAAGTAAGCCCACTGCACTTGGTGGATGTACTTCTGAGCATAAACGCATTGGTGTTGCACTGTTCATTTGTAACCTCATCCCATATATATTTGTTTTTAAGTCAACACCATTGAATTCAGATGCTCTTATGGCAGGATGGGACTCATGCAGCCCTCCAGATGTTATTGGACTGCACCTCCCAGCAGCCCTAGCTAGAATAGCCAATGGGTGGCATGCTGGTAGTTCCAGTTCCAGGGCCATTCGCTTCCCACACCTATTTGTTTGCACAGAACTGCAGCCCACAGTTGTATTTTATGAGAGGTGCCTCAGGAGTCATTCTGGATATTTGCTGAAGGGCTGTATTTTAATCTCGAGAGATGAAGTTGTCTTAATCCAGCTGTACCATTGAAAGTGGGTTATCAAAAGTGGTAGAGAATGCCACCGCTACAGCCACCTGGTCTCCACCAAATTATGCAATAGTAACATTTGTTGTTGCATGTCTTCGTTTCCGACTTATGGCGACCCCAAGGCAACCCTGAGCTGAGAGTGCGATTCGCTCAAGGTCATCCTGTGGGTTTCTATGGCTGAGCAGGGAATCGAACCCTGATCTCCAGAGTCACAGCCCAACTCTCAAACCACTGCACCACTCTGGCTCTCAACAGTGCCATACTAACTGCAAACCTTTTTTTTTTTTTTTTTTAATTTATTTAGTTTGAAAATGTGTTCTATGCTCAGGGAAGCACTGGGCAGGATTTCATCTGAAAAGATCCGTAATACTGAAGTATGCAACAAACTCCCTCTCAAATGTGCTAACAGCCAAAGCTGCTACAGGAAGACCCATCATCAGCACATCCTGCCACAGTGCGGTTTAGATATGAGTGGAAGGCTTTTCCTGCGATCATAACCCAGTGAAAAGTCTTTGCTGCATTGTTACGCCTTTGACTGAAAGGTACAGTTGTGCTGGATATAACATATTATACTGATAGACCTGACATTGAGAGCCAGCACAGGGCAGTGTTTTGAGTGTTGGACCAAGGCTCTGGGAGACCAGTCATGGCAATCCACCGAGGGGCTTTGGGCAAGTCATACTCACTCTGAAACAAGGCAATGGCAAACCTCCTATGAATAAATCTTGCCTAGAAACCCCCCTTTTAAGGGTTTTTTTCTCCATCTCAATCCCGTCTCCAGAACTCAAGACAGGAAGGGAAAACGTATACACTTCTTTTGAAAGTATCTCAGACTTCCAGGGTCTAGCGTACAGGGTTACTCATCTCTACTTCTTGACTCACTTGCCCTTTGTGGAAAAAAGAGTGCCTGTCTTGCAGCCACTCACTCATAGACCACAAGGTTGCGAGTTCAATACCAGCCAGGGCTTAGGCTCAACTCAGGCTTGCATCTTTCATCCTTCAGAGGTGACTAAAATGAGTACCCAGCTGTTGGGGGGCAATGAGCTTACAGGTGTAAACCGCTTAGACACCCCAGAGCACGATATGAAGCGGTATATAAGTGAAGCTGCTTTTGGTGCCAATCAGTTTGAAAAGTTTTTAGAAATGATCCACTTATGGGTAAAGGGGAGGCATTCAGTTAAATGGCTGGGTCTCGAAGCTCTCTCTAACAACTGTCTGAGGTATTTTTATGCCCTTGCATATGGACAGTGGGTTCTTCCTTGGTGCTTGCTGGGGTTCAGTTCCTGGACTCCCCATGGATGCCAAAATCCATGGATGCTCAAGTCCCTATTATATTCAGTGGCGTAGTAAAATGGTTTCCATCATAAAATGGCAAAATCCATCATAAAATGCCAAAATGGAAGGCTGAATTGGTGGATAAAGCGAGCCAACTGTATTTATGAGCACACAGTATATATATATATATATGTCTGGATACAGTGTTTGAAAAATCTGTTCTTCACGTGAAGCTGAGGAGGCAGTCATCTTTAAGCAGAGGCTGGATGGCCATCTGTCATAGGGGATGCCTTGATTGGGAGTTCCTGCATGGCAGAATGGGGTTGGACTGGATGGCCCTTGTGGTCTCTTCCAACTCTAGGATTCTATGATTCTCAACAGTCATTGACTGACATTCTGTGAGTAACATACACCAGCAGAAGTCCACCTTATACCTGCCCTCTTGTTTTGCTCACTCTGGAGGTTACTATTCAAAGCTATAGCCCTGTGAGTCTGTAGAATCAGTCTGTACAGAGATCTTGTAGACTCTTTGAGACTCAATGAAAGAAATTAGTTGGCAGCAGGAGCTTCCCTACACTTCAGATTTAAATGCGCCTGAGGAAGTAGACTTTAATCTAGGAAAGCTCCTGATGCCAACCTCTTTGCATCCAAAGCTATAGCCATGTTAGTCTGTAGACTCAGTCTGGAGAGAGCTCTTGTAGCTCCTTTGAGACTCCCTGAAAGAAAGAGGTTGGCAGCAGGAGATTCCCTAGGTTTCAGATTTAAATGCATCTGAGGAAGGAGACTGAAGCCTAGGAAAGCTCCTGATGCCAACCGCTTTGCATCCAAAGCTATAGCCCTGTGAGTCTGTAGAATCAGTCTGGAGAGAGATCTTGTGGCCCCTTTGAGACTCCCTGGAAGAAAGAAGTTGGCAGCAGGAGCTTCCCTAGGTCAAAGTCTACAACCAAATGCACCTGAGGAAGAGACTTAAGCCTACAGAAGCTATTGCTGCCAACTGCTTTCTTTCAGGGAGTCTCAAAGGTGCTAAAAGGTCTCTCTACATTTAGATGATCTTGACAGTTTTAAAATGTGTGTGTGGTGTGTGTTTGTTTTTTAATGTTTTCTCCTGTGAGCCGCCTTGGGTCTATTCTGGGAGAAAGGCGGCATACAAATGTCATAACAAAGAAAGAAAGAAAGAAAAAGAAGTTTCCCAACCTCTGGCTGATTATTTCTTTATTATGACATTTGTATGCCGCCTTTTTCCCAGAAGGGACCCAAGGTGGATCACGTGTAAAAACATTTTTACAAACCCACATCCAATAAAAATGTTGGTGTTTGGTCCAGGGGTTTTGGACTTCAGCTCCCAGAATCCCTGACCATTAGCCACAATGGCTGAGGCTGCTGGGAGCTGTAGTCCAGACTTAGAAGCCCAAAGGTGAGGACTCAAAAGCTTTTTCCAAATCCTCTCCTGAGGTCTGGCGCCAATTTGGGGAGGGGGGCCCAGAGGCAAGGCAGAGCGAGTTCCGATTGGCTCAAACGCTTAGGTGACGGGCCTCTCCTCCAATCCCCCTCCGACTTACCTCAGCGAAGGCGCCGCGGGCGTAGACTAAGAGGAGAGACGT